CAGCATGCGGCCCCAATCGTCGCCTAATTGCCGTTTGTTTTCCACAACAGCCTTCGTAGCAGGGCAGGAAGTCGATTAGGGCGAATTTTTTACCGCGCAGCCTTGACGTGGACCGCAGCGCGACATTACGCTTGCGCCACCTGAGACTCCAAGCTGTTTGGACGGCTGCGGTCGCGGTGCTGTGCGTGAGACGATGTCCCATCGAGTGGGCGGCAGTGTCGCTGGTGCGGCCCAGCCGCCGGCCGGCCGGGGACTGCGCCGGCCAACGCCGCTATCACCGGAGACCTAACAGTCGCACACGAACTGAACCACCGCCGGCGCGTGGGCCATCGACCACGGCCACTGCCGGGGGCGGGGGGAGGAGGGGACACTCGGAGGGCCGGGATCGAGACGTAGACGAGCGCGCGCGCGCTGCTCGCGATTTCTCTCATTACATCGTCGGAGACGGGCGCGTGGTCCTCCATTATCGCCGACGACGGGGGGCGGCCGGATTCGATCCCCGTCGTCGGCGCGCGCCGGCGGCGGCGGCGCCCATCCGTCATCCGATGACGGTCGGCGGTCACGGACGCGCGTCCGGCCCGGGCGGCGCGCGCGGCCAGCGGGCGTAGTACGGCGGCGCCGACCGAGCGCGGCGCGCTGGGCCGGGCTCGGGGCTCAGGCCTGCGGGTCGGCCCCGCACCGGAGCTGCGTGACACGGGGGATGGAAAACACGGCGACGTTGCGCTGCATCAAAAGTGCATCCGGGTGTCACGGAAACCACGGCAGAAGCAGTCATGCGTTGATTTCGCTGTTCATTTTTTTTTTTTTAGTAAGGTAGCTCACACCGGTGATGTCTCGACGACGTTGTGCGGCGTTGCGAACGGCGAAGCGGCATTCGTTTTCCTTGCACAGCGTCCTCCCAGCTGTGGGAACATTTCAAACTTGCTATCGGTTAGATGGCATGCGCCATTAGCGGTCAGAACTCCGATCTCGACTGGTATCTCAGCACGCTTCGAGGAAAAACGACTCGAGATCGCCGCCAAGCCATCCTATCCGCCGCTGGTATGTCTGTCGGCTGGGCTTGATATGCGGGCTGATCTGGTATGAAATGCCTCGATCACGGGTAATTGGATCAGCTGACAGAGATGTCGAGCGCTGCCGGCAGCTGTCTGTGTCCGGCGGATTGGACACTGCTTCAGACAAACGCAGTCTCGGCGCGTGTCGTTGGGTCAGGCGGGACCCAGACCCCGTTACCGGATTCTGTCGGTTCGTATCCAACAGGGTCAAAAAGGGACCCAGAGGGCCCGAGGCCGTCGTCTGCGTTTAGTGGGTTGAACAGCGACCCAAACGAGGGTGTCGGGTACTGCATAGATATTACGTACCGGACGGGAGCTGAGGCAACTCTTGTTACTAGAGTTTGTGTCTGGCGGGGTGGCCAGAGGGCCCAGTCGGTGTTTCCGTTGCCGCATTCAGTGGAGCGGACAGTGACCCAGTCGGTGTGTCCATCTGCTGTGTCTGGCTGGCGAGACGAACGCTGGACTCCGCGCAGTTGCGCAGTTCGGAGCTGGCCAAAGAGTGAGAAGCACGCTCTGGCGAAGAAAGACATACGTGGCCGGGCAGGGCGCAGGTACCCTCGTACGGGCGCGTTCGCCCGAAACCGACTAACCGTTCGCAGAACCCGCCACCTTTCGTGAGCACAGGAGAGACCACGACCGCCAGGTACCCGGCCTCTCCCTTCACTTGTCGTACATCTTATTAACGGCCATCACATCCTACGGCCTACACACCCCGCTCTGCCGGCGGGGTCTGGCGCGGGCGAGGGGAGGGCGAGGGGGGGGGGTCGCGTGCCGGCGTGCCGTGACCGCCGTCTGGGGGATGGCTCGGCCGTGGGGCGGCCGCTGACCCAGCCGCCGGCTGGCTGCCGGCCAGGCACAAATGCGCGTCGTGCCCGGCGCGTCACGGCCCGCCGAGTTGGCATGCAAGGTCGGCGTGCGGCCTCGTGACGCTCCTGGTCCGGCGCGCGCCGCCGCTCGGCCACACCGCGCCGCGAGCGGCCCGAGTCACGCCGTCGCTAGCTGACCCGAGGTATGCCGTCGATGGATGGTCCGAGTCATGCCGTCGCTGGCTGACCTGAGTCATGCCGTCGCTGGCTGACCCGAGTCGCTGGCTGGTCTGAGTCGATGACTGGCTCGAGTCATGCCGCCGCCGGCCGACCCAAGTCATGCATCCCCCTCGTGATGAGATGGGGATTTTCTAGTTGACGCTCAGCGAACTGGGCTGCATTATAAAAGTAAGCTTTTACCAACTGAACACACCAAAACGAGCATTAAATGTCTTTTTCCGGTGCTGATTGCCACATTCCGCGTCAGTTATTTTGTTGGTGATGACGCAACAAACTTCTTTGCAGCGCATATCTAAAAGCATGTATTGTGGCGTTGCGTCAAGCGCAAAAAGTTGTGCTGGAGACAGTACAGCTTGTTCTTGCATTGAACTATGGTGTCGTTACACCTCGCTACGAGCGAGCAGTGTTCCTACAATATCACAACGCTAAAAAGCTGGCAGCAGCTTCCAGCTGCTCTTACGGCTGTGAACGAAAAGTCTGCTACAGATAGCTATGACTCGCACCAGGCATACCATTGTAAATTCACGCTTCTCCGAGATCTGTTGCACTGTCGCTAGCTACATATGATCACCAGCACGCATTCTGGCGGGCACCCAACTGTCCTTCACGGCATGTTTGTGTAGCCTGGGCGATTTTGATGTCGGTGAAATAACCCGTAATGTAACTGGTTGTGTTGGGAAAGGTTTGGAGGACGGTATCATGAGCTGCATCGCTGAACACTCTATAATGAGCTTCGAAACCCGGTCACTCTGGACAACGGCATCACTCATTCAAGATGAAAACGACTCTCTTCCCCAATGCCTGTCTAAGACGAAAAACCCTACGCTCGCTCAGGACAGTGCACATATATTATATACCCGGAGTGGGTCTGGAGTCAGCGGCCCAAATCAGGGGGATGATTGGGTTCGATTACACGTTCAGGGCCAGGGCCCACAGCACGCCATGTGTTCCTGAACGTGCGGATGCCGGAGGTGGCTCCAGGTATAATGGTGGTGTTTAAATGGAAAGCAGGGTTCGCCACGCTCGAGATTCAAAGGTCACCTCGATCGACCGTTTCGTCCGGCTCACACCCCCATTAACCGACACCACCCATTAACCGCCGCGTGATTAATGAGATTTAGGATGTGTTGCGTCACACCTCTGCCGAGCGGTTTATCTTCATCAATCAGCACTGATCTCTTCATACCGCCTCATATGTATTTATAAAACACACCTCAATAGGGACTCCATAGATCACACAGCGTGGTGGCGCGGTCGCCTCACATCGAAGCGGGACCACCAGCCGATCGACCCGCGGACGTTTCGCAACGCGACGGCTACCGCCGGTCGAACGAGGTTGGATTACATTCTGTCGGAGATAGCGTTTCCCAAGCGGGAGGGCACCGGACGCGGGCGTGCTGCCCCGAGGCGCGCCCCGGTGAGCTCCCGAGCCATCCACGAACACTGACCTCTCCAAGCGTGAGCTCCTTGCTCGCCGCCGATAAGCAGGATCGGACTCCAGTTGCAGTGCGCCGCGGCTTAAGCACGACCACAAACCGCAGGCTGACGGGCTGCGCGGCACCGCACGAACAAATAACAACCGTAATCATGACGCCGTCGATAGAGCGCGCACGTGAAATGGCCGCCGACGGCCGACCGAGCGGCAATTGGCCTGCACTCTCTGCGTCCGGCGCCCATTCGCCGTCGCCTTTCATCCCGTGGGTAACGAGCACCTGCAGACAATTGCAGCGCGTGAGCACGTGCAGGTACCGCTCTTATGAACGAGCACGCCCCAGCACGCCGACGGGGGCGGAGCGCGGCCCGGGCGTCGGCTCCCGGGGCTCCCAGGCCGAGCTGTCCGCGAAGGGCGACGGCGGGCCTGCAGCTGTGCAGTGGGCCATCGCCGCGGGCCGCGGCGCGGCACCAGCGCAGCCGACGCCGCCGGCGCCGCTGACGTGGTCGGCTACGTCACCACAGAGCGCTTATCGTGGGAATTGAGTTTTGTTCGAACGGAGTTTACGGGTGCAATCGCAACGTGCGGTATGTTGCCCAACAGCCTGGCGTCGGTAAAACGGTGTCGGGCAGGCGCGACCGTGTAATCGGAACGTGTCACTTGACGTCGCTTCGCGCTACCTGCGGCTCGGCCCCACGGGCTCCGGCACACCCGCCCATTAGGCCTTTATTGTGCCGCGACCCGCATGATGTTGACTGCATGACGAATAGCTCAGCGCCGCCTGTCGCCTCGACGGTCGCCCTCGCATTGACATGCGATCGCTATCCGGCTACTAACGAGGCAGCTAGTTATCGACTCATGATTAGCCCCGCGAAAAGTAGGAGCCCTTTGATACGGGCCGTAAACTTGAAGCGCGGACCACCCGTCAGCCATCCTAATGAGCTTTCGATTTGTGTGGATGCATTTATGCACGGCCAACAGCGACTTACTGATGCCTGCCTTCGGATATTTGCTGATAGTATCTGCGGACGTGTCTTACGAGGCGGTGCGGCCAAGGCTGCCCGGCCACGGCGGTCGCTCGCTGGCGGCGCGCCACAGTACTACACCTGGTCGGTCCTGCCCCGTTGACCCCGCCGTCCCTGCCCCGCAGGCCTGGCAGGACATCGAGAACGTTTCTGATGCACAGCTTCGAGGGCCCGAGCGTCGAGGGCGGGTACCCGCTCGCCCGGGCTGGCCGACGACGACTCGCCGCTGCCGACCGAGTCGCCCGGCTACTACTCGACGCCACACTCTCCCGAGGGCATCGACATGAACTTCATGGCGCCACCGTGCGGGGCCTGACGGCGAAGAGTTCAAGAAGGAGCCGTTCGCCGAGCACGGCGGCCGCCGAGCGGGCCTCCGTACCGCGAGGTTTGACTCGCCGGGGCGCCGAGCGCGCCTTCCCCGAGGCGCTGGCTGCCACTGCAGGCGACCACCAGCCGCTGCTCGGCGAGCAGAAGTTCAAGGCGGCCGCGCCGTTCCGCGACGGACGGCTTCACGAGCTGCGCGCCGTTCGCCGAGGCGGCGCGGCCCGAGCCCGCCCGTTCGCGGCGACCGACTTCGCCAGCGAGCGGGGCGGCGACTTCGTCGACCTGGACTCGCTCATCAGCCGGGCGACCGAGCAGCATCTCGGTACACCCTAGCAGCGTGCAAGGCCGTGGCGCAGGGCGTCGAGACCAAACTCGTGCTGAGTGGCTCGCCGCTGGCCGGCGGCGAGGAGCGGTCGCGCCTCACCGCAGCTCACTGCCCGGTCTGCAGGCGACTTCGAGCTGAACGGCGGTGAGCATGCAGCATGCCGGCGGCCAGCTTCAGCCCCGTGTACACGGGCCTGGTGGCGATGGTGTCGGTGCCGGGCGGCACGCCGCAAATGTCGCCTCCCCCAGCCCCGAGACGGACAAGCTGCCGCGCGCCACCGTCGAGCTGACGGCCCTGGGCGGCCGGCCGGGCGCCGCCGCCCCCACCGTGCGCCTCATCACGCCACCCTCATCGCCCAACCTGGCCGAGCTGCTGTCGGCGGGCGCCGGCGCCAAGGCGGCCACGCATCAGCATCCGGCCTTCCTCAACCAGCTGCCACCGCCGGCCGAGGACGGCAAGCGTAAGAGCAAGAGCGCCAGCGGGCGGCGGCGCAACACCGCGCACGCCTGCCAGTACCCCTGCACCAAGGTGTACACCAAGTCGTCGCACCTGAAGGCGCACCAACGGACCCACACGGGCGAGAAACCCTTCCAGTGCACGTGGAAGGACTGTGACTGGAAGTTCGCGCGCAGTGACGAGCTGACGCGGCACTTCCGCAAACACACGGGCGACCGGCCGTTCCAGTGCCGGCTGTGCGACCGCGCCTTCTCGCGGTCAGATCACCTTTCGCTGCACATGAAGAGCACGTGGACGTGTGTGACGGATCTCACACACATATTCGGACTGCGTCCCAGTGCGGCTGAGATTCATGTGATCCATTTGTTTGCTCGTGGCTTGCAGCATTTGTCCTCTCGTTCGTGCGAATGTCTATATATGTGAGCTTGTCAAGTGTACAAAACCCAAAAAATGTTCGCTCGCGACGCCGGGTGTCGCCACGTTTGAGTCGCGGCGACCCGTGCGACAGCCGCCTCGGTTTACCATTCCCTGTTACCAAATGTGCGCGATTGCCATAATGAGGGCGTTCGAGTGAACATCGGCGATATTATAGCGGCGCGGTAAGAAGCGCGACCGACGGCGAGCGCGCCGCGAGGGTCGCGCCCTCGCCGCCGCGCGTCGCACTCGCTGTACATGCAGGACGTAGCGCTGCTGTGCTAACAGTCGAATACACACTATTGGCAGCAGGGCGTTGTGCGGGCGCGGGCCGTCGCGCCCCGGACCAGCGGCGTCTTCGGCGCCCTGGCGACCGGCCCGGAGGATGACCAGGTGCGGAAGTGGCTTCCGTTCCGCCAAGGCTGTCCGGTTCCGCCGGCTTCCGGGCGGGGCTGCCCGGCGAGCGGGCGCCTGAGGCGCCGCCCGCCCGCTGCCGACCGGCCAGCCGCGCCGGCGCTACTGGCTCGGCTTTACTTACTGCCAACGACAAGGATCGCCCAGCTTTTTATGCCCCACATATACCCGCCAGCCCCAGACGGCTAAAGATAGTGCATTAACGGCGCCCTGTTAAATACGACCAATTAACTAGTCATTGACTGATTTCACAACCGCGCGTAACAATACGCGGGCAGGGGCGGGTGGCGGGCGGGCGGGCTGGCCGGCGGCGTCTGGCCGGTGCCGCCAGCTGCCGCGCGCGTCAGGAGATCATGGGCCAGCGTAGGTCAACCCCAGCCAGCGTCGGCTTGAACCAGTCTTACCAAGCATCCACCCCCCAGCCCTCGCCCGCGGTGTCTGTGCCGCTGTCGCTGCTGCTGCCAACTCTGATGCCAGACCTGATGCATTTCGCATTTTGCTGTGGTTGCACAGGTCCTCATCAGGCGCTGTTTGGCCTGTTCCGCCCTCTACCTTACATGGAGCCTTGGGTACCGATTATCCTGAAAATATGGGTTGCTTGGAGCGCGTTTCTCGTATCGTTCATCAGGCATGGCAAGCAGAAAGCACTTGGCTCCCTCTGGTTTAACGATGAGCAGGCCCCACATGATCATTTCATAACCGGGTTGCGAAATCACACAAGTTGACTTCGAACTATACCGTGATGCTGCTCCTGACAACCGCTCCAAGAACAAAAGCCGCATCCCTGTCGTTCCCCACTGTCAGCAGAGTGCCGCACCGCGCCGACGGCTCGCGTACACGGCCGTCAGCGCGCGGTACGCGCGGGCTCCGCCGCGGCCGGGCCGACCGACGCCAGGCCGTCTGACCTAATGAGGAGCGACACGCGAGCCGGCCGCCCCCGGGCCCCGAGCTATGGCTGCCGCGTCATCCGCTGACACCGGGCCTCCCCTGGGGCTGGCTCGCGTGCGCCCTAATGGAATTAGACAATCTGAACATGCCGGTATATTACGGCTCCGGCCGTCCGACGGCAGCAGGCCGTCGGTGACCGCGGCGCCGCCGGGAGGCAGCGCGTGGCGGGCTGTGCGGCCGTCGCTGGAGGGCGGGCTCCCAGGCGACAGGCGGCCCCGCACGGCTCCCAGCCGGCCCATACCGCGACGAGCCCGGTCCAAAGGGCTGTGAGTCATGCATCGTGCGCCCCTTAGAAGGACCATCAAGGTGAAAAACGCCCCCATCAGCCGGGTAATAGCGGGCGAAGGGCGTGGAGGGAAGGCATGCTGTTAATATTCGGTGGCCGGTTAAAAATAACGGCTCGTCTCGGCTAGTGGCCCTGACATGCCTTGTAAAAATGCATAGAAAGGCCTAAAAATACCTTGATATGAAGCTCTCGGCGGTACCTGCCGTGCACAGTGGAAAGCTATTTCTTCGCACCAATGTATGCGGGAAACGGATGACATGAACCAGGCTAATCCACCAGTTACTTGGGGCATGGACGGAGGTCGACGGACGGTAATGTGACCGTATAGAGAGCGTCCCGCCAGCCATAATTCATATTGTCGGGAGAACAAACATCGCAACTCACTTTTCATGGCTGCCCTTTTCCCCTCTTCAACATGGACCACCCTCTTTGATGATGCCGTTGGAGTTTGGCATTCGGATCTGATGAGAGCTCTGCTGCACTCATCTTGCTCCGGACGCTCCAGGCCGGGGCAGCGTCCAAAGCCGCGCCACGCGCGAGACGCGCTCAGCCAAGTCCACGTGCCATACTGGCAGCAGGCCGCCGCCGCAGGAGTTGCGGCGGTCGCTGATGTTTGATCTGACTAATCTTTTTGGCTTGTACCGTGGTTTGACATATCACGGCGGCGGTATCGCAGCGCATCTAAGCAGGTCAAGCGGGGTTATGAAAGCGGGCCTCGGCGGCGCGGTACGGGTCACCCGCTGCGGCTGGAGCGTGGCAGTGGGGCAGGGGCCGCGTCCGGTCGCGGCGCCGCACGAACGGTACGCCACACAGTGGTGCCGCCCAGCCCCCCGCCGACGTCCCGTCCGGTCGTGTCCTCCTGTCGATCAACACCGACGGCCGTCGCAACACTGACAAGGACAATTTGTTTTGACTGGTGGAGAAGCTCGTTCTCACTGGGAGGCACGATACAAGAGCATGTTGACTGGAATGAACGTACCCATGGTCTGGATGCATTTGGTGCTGAGAGGGTAAATGCGTGATATGCGACAGGAAAACATCATGATTCACGGTATTCACCCCACAAGAGTTTCCTAATGTACTGGAGAGGCCAGAATACACCGGCCCGGCACATTCCGTCGACAGCATCATTCATCGACTGAAATAACGGCTGAAACCAAGGAACGAGTAGTTGAGCCATCCGCACCTGCATTACAATGTCCTTCCAACGCGGATTTCATAAGCTTGGACAATAATTCTGGGGACATGCAATTAATGTTCACAAATCTGGGTTACTAACAATGCCATCATTTAGCAAATATCCTCCAGGCATTCGCGTCCGATAACAATGGTCACCAGACCCCCAATGTCTTGTGTTCCATCTTGTGTTACAAAACTGAACCACATCTGTCAGTCCCTGAATACTCGCGAGAGATAACGACGAACATCAATCACTATTACCATCACCAAATTACCAATGCGTCTTGTAGACTAAATAGAAATGTCCACAACTTTTGGCTGCACACATCCATTTGAAGAGTTATCCGCCGTTGCCGTGGCTGGTAGCGTAACAGATGGTGTGGTATGCGGATCACGCCCCCCATCAGTGCTTACATACGCAGCCCGCGTTCACCACAACACTCCGGTAGGCGAGTCGCGTGTTCAGTTTAGTTATACTTGATTGGTTGTGACTCATTTCCGGAGGATATCGGCTCGTTACACACACAAGCATAAAAAGCAGGCGGATTGAAAGTCAATCAATGATAGCGTCAATTATTTTTTCCAGCCGCTTATCACTGCCATCACACCGCTTATCACTAGCTATCGCTGTCACTGTCGGACAATTTGGTGCAAACCCCAGTGGTTTCTCTGATATAACTCTTCATAAAACGCAAATAATCTGATATTTTTCCTCTTGTCTTCATTAGCCTCATATTTTCTGCATTTATCAAATGCCACTTGTCTACATTGCTTTAAAACTTATTTGCACAAGTTGTGCTCTGTCAGGCACAATGTATTTTTGGTGATAGGTTACACGATTTAAGTCCCAACATGTCCATTCGTGCGATTTAACGAAGGCGGTTTTATTTACTGGCGTTGTTACAACCTCTTGAACATATAATTCGGTTGTTATCTTCCTCGCGCACTACGTGACCTTCTTTGACCTGCAGCCTCAATCCACATATTTCATCTAATTGGTGACAGGAATAAGAAGATGCTTGAGGGAACCCGTATTTGAACCCGTAACTCGTTAAACTGGCAATATTTTCGATCACGAAAGATGCACAAAGCCAGAGTTTGATCTTCGGACTCTATTCTGGGGCTGCGTTGACTTAAGATCAGTTATCCCAGTGAGGACTGGCTTGTGTGGCTCTGTGATTCAACGTGCATGTAAATACATTGCTGGAACATCCGAGCTATGAAGCTCTGCTACCTTACAAGTAAGCATATAATTGGACAGTGTCCGCATTATTTTTAACTCGCTTCGAACCGCGGCGTTGCTGGTGATCGTGCAGTCGGAGAGCATGGATCGCTTTCTGTGGCGTTAGATCTAAAACTATCGCCTGTTCCTACAACCAACATACCAGTCCATTAGTTTTAGAGAGATGTACGGGAAAAAGTCCTTCCCCGTTCCAACGGACTCGAAAGTGGCTATATACCTCCGTCAGTGCTAGGTCAGATTTACAAGCGAAACCTTAACAGAGCCGGTGATGTAAATGAATTTCGGGATTTTTTCTTCCCACACACCGCTGTCAAATTTAAGCCTTTTGAAAAAGCACCACACATGGGTCAAAACGAGAACAAACTCAGATCTTAAATTTGCTCACACTCTTCACGATCTCGTACAACATCGAACGAAATAGCTGCACAATCGCCTCTCATTCAGAAGAGAACGTTATTTTCCACGGGCTCTGGGAAAATGTGCATTTCCCTCTCTTACAAGCTGCCATAAAATGGCCTTCATGACCGAGACCACCATGACCTGGACTCTACAGCTGTCCTTACTTTCAACCGTCCAGATGGAATCTGCCAGGCAACCTGGTCCCACCCGCGTGCGCGGCCAACAGGCGAAATTCTCGATCATGGTTCCGCGCTGAGGCGGACCCTCGCCCTCGTGCTCTGACTCGCTGCAGTGAGCGGCGAGCGCGGCCCAGCCCGTTCGCGGGGACACGGTGACCTGGCAAGGAGACCCTGTGTCGCCGGAGCGTTCTCCTCTTTGTCGGCTGCAGATGCCGCTTGAGCGTATCGCTTCGAAACGACCTGCGGCGCGTTTACATGGATAACGAGATCAGTGAGATTCTTCGATGTTGCAGCGAAAACGGCGACGGCTCTGAGAACAGCAGCGTCCTGTAGCAGTCGCGTGACGCCTTGACCGAGCCGTCTACGGCTTCCAACGAGAATCCCACGCCCCGATTACTCAAAGAGACGCATGGCGTGTCACAACTCAGGCCCACTCAGGCGAAAAAGTGCTCTCTGAACTCCTGATCGAGCCCCTACTGAGGTGATCGGCCAGGCTCTCTCCTCTCCCTCTCGCGCTTCGGCACTTTGAAAATGAAAGGCCCCGCTTTGATTTCGCTTGCGGCCTAGCGACGCAGCTGACAATGTAAACGAGGCCGAACAGGCCTCGGGGCCCCATTCGTCGA